ACCCACATGTATCAGTTCATTGTGGATCACTGATGTCCTTCAGGCCTTCTGCTAGGTGTGAAGACCCACCTGGTCACGTAGAAGATGTAGTTTTTGCCTTCAGGGAGCTTTCAGTCCATGTTGAGAGACAGACATATATAAAAGACGCTGTGCAATATGAAGAGGGCCATAATAAAAATTTAAATTAGGTGTTGTGGGATCCTAGGTGAGAGAGGAACTTTGCTTAGGGAAGCTGGAAAAGCCTTTATTGTAGACAGCAGAATTTGAGCTAGAGCTGAAATAATGAACAGAGATTTTGCAAATAGAGAAGGTTTAGAGAAAAAAGCATTCTGGTCATAGCATGCATAAAGTCTTAGAAGCCTAAGAGGATCTAGTGGTTCCTGTGAATGGCACAGAGTTCAATGAGGCTGGAAAATAAAGTACAAAGAGAACAGCAGATTAGGCTACAGAAAGAGTGTGTGTGTACCAGTTAACTATTGCTGCAGAACAAACTGCCCAAACGCTTAGGGGCTGAAAGCAACATTCGTTTTATTTGCTCATGATTCTATGGGTTGTTCTCACCTGGGAGAACCTATAAGACCAAAGCAGATAAAAGCAGCATCTCTGAAGCCTTAGTTTGGAATTCACACATTGTTACTTCTGCCACCTTCTTTGGTCAGGATAAGTCATGGCCAGCCCAGATTTCAAGGGTGGGAAAATAGATCCCATCTTTTGATGGGAGGAGTAGCAAAATCACTTTGCAGAGGTGTGTGGGAACAGGGAGGGGAGGAGATGTTGTGGCTGTCTTTGCAAACAATATACCAGAGGGTGAAAGCAAATTGTAAAGTCTTGCTTACAAGGTGAACAGTTTGAAATTGATCCTAAGGGCAACAGGAAGCTATCAGAGGTTGTTGTTGTTTTAAAGATGTATTTATTATTTTAAGGAGAGAGAGAGAGTGGGGGGTGCAGAGGGAGAGGGAGGGAGAGAGAATCCTCAAGCAGACTCCCCACTGAGTGAGGAGCCAGACGTGGGGCTCAGTCCCAGGACCCTGAGATCATGACCTGAGCTGAAATTAAGAGTCAGCCGCTTAACTGACTGAGCCATCCAGGTGCCCCTCAGAGGTTGTTTTTGTTGTTGTTGTTGTGTTTTGTTTTGTTTTTAAGTACCACGGTAATAAGGTTTTCTGCTCAACATCCCTTATTAAGGAACCCTTCCTCTCCTACAATCCCCATGGTTACTGAAGAAGCCATCATGTTAGTACAGTGCCTACCTTTTGATCAATTGTTTAGATCAGGAATGAACCAACCAGAATCCTTTCTTTAGATTTTTTTCTACTATAGATACTGTAGATGAGAATTGAACATTGCCAGTAGCTGAGGCTGTAAGATGCAGATCTTAGGGAGTGCTAGGGAGTTATGTTTTAAGCTATATAAAGAAAGCCACTCTGCACAGAGTGGCAGAGATGAGAGGCAGAGTCCTGATGGTCTTGTTGGAGTCCACTAAATCTGACATCCCTCTTTGCCTAGGCTTCTTCAAATGTGGCTTAGCTCTCCGACCAAATGAATCCCAACTAATACAAAGAGAGGTTAACACCTGCAAGTAGGGAGTTGGAAGTGACAACATAAAAATCTGAAACCAGTTGAGTTTGAGGGTCATGGTTATTTTGACTGGTTTTTACTGGTATATAAGAAAGCTGTTGCTTTTCATATTTTGTATGTAACTACCCTACTGATGGCTTTTCAGTTGAATATCTTGGAATTTCCTAGACCAACAATCAGATTATCAGAAAACAATTATATTTTATCTTTTTCCTTTAGTATATACACATATACATATGCACGTATGTGTGTATGTGTGTAATTTTTTTTTCTTGTTTTGCCTGGTTTGCTAGAACCTCCAAAATAGTGTT